GAAATATACATTGTTGGGTGTAGAATTGGAGATTTTAGGGTGACAAACTAAAACCCTCAATTTATTCTTAGTGTTTAAAAATTAAAGCGAGAGTTAGCCTTCAGGTGAAGGAAAGTGGGAGCTCTAGAGTGGGAACCAGTATCCACCTAGCCTAACCACAGATTTAGAGACTAAACCTGAGATTAGCCAATGATTTTTTATAACATTGTACCAAGGTAGAGAATTAAAGCTGTTCCTATTTGGCACAATACATATTAAAATTGTTTATCTCATCTCATTTTACTAAAATCTCATTGTAGTGAGAAAGAAGTTTTTTCACATAAGAAATCTTCATCACATAAACATAGTTTAGTAGTTTAGTAGTTACTGTTTAAACTTTGCATTGCAATTTTGCTAATAGTTAAATAATTTAGTTTTGATAATATCTCAGCATTCAAAATTAGTAACAGTAATTTCATTGTACTTTCTGTGAATTTTCTAGTAAATTTATCATTTCAAATTTAAACATTCCCCGTGGGATTGATATTCGGGGCTTAAATAGAAATTACTTTATTACTTGATAACGATACGTATACTTGCGTAGAATCCCAACATTAATTGCTTAAATTTCTTAATCATAAATATTGCATCAAACTTTTGGCACCGTTATATAGCGGAGTCAAACTTATATGAATTTTATGTAACTATATTTTATGGGATCAAGTTTTTGGCATCGTTACCGGGGAAGGTAACGGTAAATTAAATAGATTTGGTAAAATTGAAACTTTTAGAAATAATTATAAAAAAAATTTAAAATAAAAAATCTAAAAATAAATATATTTTTATTTAAGAGTATTTTTCTTTTTCTTTGCTTATATATTTGTTTATGCGAAATACTGAATCTGAAAGTTTAGTACCTTATGATTCAGAACTAGAACATACTATTTGAAAAATTCAAAAATAACAAAAAGAAATTAAAAATTTAAACGAAATAGTGAATAACTTAGATAATCAAATAAATGAAAATTGACAATGAACTTTAAAAGATTATGCTAATTCGACAGCAGATGCATTTCACTTGACTATGCAAAATCTTGATGTTGCTGCTAATTCATTTGAGATTAAACCTGTCATTATCCAAATAGTACAAAATAATTAGTTTGGAGGAACACCTACTGAATATCCTAACTTACATCTTGCTAATTTTCTTGAAATTTTTGCTACATTTAAATATGACGGAGTGTCTAATGATGTTGTTAGGCTTAGACTTTTTCTTTTTTCATGAAGGGATAAAGCCAAAGCTTGGTTAAATTCATTAGCACCTAGATCTATCATAACTTGGGGAGAACTATCACAAAAATTCTTGGTTAAATATTTTTCACCCTCGAAAACTACTAAGATTAGAAATGATATTACATCTTTTTGTCAGTTTGAAGGGGAATCAATATATGAAGCTTGGGAAAGATTAAAAGATCTTAGAAAATGTCAACATCATGCTTTACCAGATTGGTTAATAATTCAAACATTTTACAATGGATTAGTGAGATCACTTAGATCTATTATAGATGCTGCTGAATAGACCACATTAATGTAAAAAATTTTTGATGAAGCATGTTCTTTAATTGAAGAAATGGAAATTAATAATTTTTAATGGTCTTATGAAAGGGTAATGAGAGAGATGAGCGAGGGAGGGAGCATGATTGTGGGACTGAGGGAGGGAGCATGAGTGAAAACATGAGTAAAAGAGTGGGGCATTGGATTGCACTCAGAAAAAGGGATTGAGAGATAGGATAATGAGAGAGAGGATAATGAGAGAGATGGAGAGCGATGAGAGAGTGAGGGAGCATGATTGTGGGACTGAGGGAGGGAGCATGAGTGAAAACATGAGTGAAAGAGTGGGAGGGATAGTTTGAGAGAAGGTTGTTACTTTATCTTCTCTCGCTCTTATTCTGAGTTACTGAGCCCCCTGCCCCAACTCACACCTACCCCTCCTCCACCCCTTAGTGCAATCCAATGGCCTTTGAAACATTGGTTAAAATGCCATCTGCATAAAAAAGCAGCAGAAGTTTCTTATATATCAGCAAATGTTAAAGCAATGTTGAGAAAGGGTATCAAATTAAACAGTTTATGTGTTTATTGAACTAAATAAAGTATAACACAATGCAATAAAATTATATGTTCCATGAAGTTGTTGAATTTCAATAACTGGTAGACATGTATTCCTACCAGTTACAAATATGTAAAGCAACAAGCTAAATTGTTCATGCAAAAATAAATAGAAAAAGAAAGAGCCTGTGCATAAACAAAAAAAATAAATAAATAAAATAATGGAATCATATAAAAAATATGATCAATGATCTGCATTGGTATCAGCAAACAGTACCTTCCTTTTCTTAACAGGTTTGAGGCTTTTAATGATGCAGCGCACATTAGTGTAAGCCGTAATGCCTTCAAAGACCTCACTGTATTTTCCTCTTCCAACTTTCCTAACGATCTCATAATCATCCTGATCCCTGGATAACAAAAAGTAATTTAAAACCAGACTAAAGCTATCAAGAATTAGGCTAAAAGAAACTTTGAAAAACATAATATGACAACAACAACTTTCAATGAATCATGCAATTTATGATCTCCCTTACATGAAAATAAATTTTTTATTAGCTAACTACTAAGCAATCATCTTTTACGAGGATAAAATTTAGCTAAATAGTTATTTTAGTAGTTACTCTAAATGAAAGCTTCTATGCCAAAAAATTCTGAAATCAAACAATGCACAAATTGCCTACTAAGCTTTAATGTGATCATCATAATCATTCAAACTAGCCTGACACCAACTATTTTGTGTTGGCTGTATGATTTCTTGTAGTGTTTCATCTGGTGTTAAGTGTAGATTATGCAAATCTTTTTATACGTCTTCTAACCATGTTACCTTAGTTTAACTCCATTTCATATTATTTATATCTCTTCCTAATCCAAATCTCAAGGTAAACTTTGTTAGTAGTCTCCTTTTTTAGCGATTCACATAAAAAAGGAAATAATCGACAATCCAATAACCTCTTTTTATTCTTTTTGCCTAAACAAAATCCAAGCACTTTAAAAACCAATGTACATATTTCCTCAATCTGGATTTATTACAGGCTATTAAACATAAATGATTGAAGCAAATACATACTAATATGAACATAGAACTAGGAAGGCTCTCTCTCCTGAAAAAACTTGAACAAACAAGAAAAAATAGAGCTGAATGTTCAATTTGAATAAAAGAACACAAGTAATAAACAGCTTTAAAATTTTTGTGCATGTGAAAAGTACCATTGCAGGGGAGTTTTTTTTTTTTAAATCAAACCAGTAATAATACTGGGAATTCTATTCAAATATACGAACTAGAGCACCCTGAATTCCGTGTCCAAGATGGCATCCTGCATCTAAAATTAGAGTCCTACAGCCCTACTTGTTACCAGGAATAACATTTCGGAAACCCAACTAACTGTCTCATCAAAACTAAAACTTCACTCTCAATTCAGATTGCATAACTATGCCAAAATACAAGTCACAAAAACCAAACAAAAGATTCAATTTTGGGTCAATCACATCAACAAAAATACACAATTATCCCTCGAATTCAGAATTATAGATATGACAGATGATGCAGATCAACCCTTCCATTAATGCAATACCATAAACATATTTGTCTTAGACTTCTAAAAGCGAATGTGATGTCCAACATTCATACGCATCCACACAGATGATTTGAAGCAAGGTTGTCTTCTCTTAATTCCCATTAAAATCACGGGAGCCATCTCAGATAACTAACCCGTCACCAAAATTGAACGAAACATAATCAGCAGCGATTTCTATCAAATCACAACAGAAATGAGAACAAATCAAACCCTCTACGAATACGCAAACCCCGAACTCATGAAACCGAAGCAAAGAAGCAACTGTACATAGGAATGCGCAAATCTCACCCCCACTGCACGACGAGAGAATCGTAGTCCCAATACTCCTTCTCACGGAGCTCGTTGATATCGGCGTAGACTCGGGCTTTGGACATGGAGGACGATCTCCGGATCTCAGAGATCAGAGCAAATGGATTTGCGAAAGATTAAACTTACGATTGTTGTCCATTTCAATATCTTTGCAGGGCATCAATGGAGAAGCTATTTATGGACAACAATGGATGGTGGCGGAGGGAAGAGGTTAGAGCAGCGAGAAAAGCGCGGCGAATTTGAGTGGATATGTATATCCATAAGAATGGTTCGATTCCATTCTCCATCCGGCTTGATCGTGTTATAAGAATGGAAAGTGGGGCCCATTTCTATAAAAAATTAATATATAGATTAGTTTTAATTGTCAATATGGTTCGATTCCATTCTCCATCCGGCTTGATCTTGTTATAAGAATGGAAAGTGGGGCCCATTTCCATAAAAAAAAAAAATTAATATATAGATTAGTTTTAATTGTCAATTAAAGTTTTTTTTATATACTTTTAATATATTTTAGATTGAAGTAGATATATTTCATATTTTTGTAGAACTTTATTTTAAAAATTCTTTAAATTATGTTTTAATTTAAGTAGTGTCTATATCATTTTTTAATTGTAATGGTTTGAATGTTGTTGCATGCAAGAACATTCACGACGGTAGAGCGATATTTAATGTTTTAACACTGTACTAAAATCCAACACATAAACAGACGATAAAAAAACAAGAAATAACGATTTAAATTCATACGGGGAAAAACCTAGAAAATTGAAAAAACCAAGGGTTTTGTGCGTGCAGTTTTCCATTTATGAACGAGATCTACCTGTAGAAAGGCTCATATAAATCATCTATAGATTGAATTTTTATAATTAAATCACTATAATTTACATATGGTTCTCTAAGAATTAATTCTTCTATTTTTTTAAATATCTCATCCATTTCTTTATCTAAATTATCACTAAATATTTTTAAAATTTCATCACCACCTCTTATATTTTTTAACTCTTTGATTATATTTGATTCAATGGGTAAAATTGTTAATCTTTGTCTTAAAACTTCTTTAGGTAATTTTAAAGTCATTTTAAAATTCAAATTTTTTTATCTTGGAAGTATTTTTCATGAAATCATATCCATGTTTCTTTTAATTTTATCATTTCTTTAACTAAAATTATTACTTTTGCTATTTTCTCTTCTTCATTTATAGAATTATTCTTAACTTTTATAATTTTTTAAGAAAATTTTTTATAATAAAAATTTCCTATAATTTCTATTGCTAGCCAACTCAATTATTTCATCCATTTAAAAAAAAAAATTTAAATATAATATTTTATGAAAAAGTTCTTCCTTGCAAGTCGAAATTATCTAAAATCATTTCTTGGATATTAACTTTAAGTTTTTAAATATAAACATGTTTTCTTTTTATGGCTCCATTTATGTCACAAGAAAAAGAATAACATCACTAAAATCCTATCTAGGTTTGGAAAAAATGAATAAAGACTTGCCCTGCAGCCATACAAGCATTATAACAGAACTTACAACACCTCTTTCATTTTTTCATTCCACAAGGAGTGTGATCATAGAGATTATTAGCTCATTTCTCATGAACATAAACTTTATTTGTACTCTGAAAAACATAGATTTATATTTAAAATAGAAAGATTAAATATCCATAAAAAAATTAACAGATAACTCCCCTACGGGGAGGAACTAAATACTACTCACAGAAATTCATGATGAAAATCAAAACATATTTATTAAGGAAAATACTTATAGAGATCTTGCTAGATACTTGCAACTCTTAAAGCTCTCAATCTTACTTCACATTTGCTTACAACTTTCTTTACTCCTTTCTCTTTTACACTTCATACATCATAACACACCTCTTATTTATAATGGAAAGAAAACCACAAAACCATGGTTATGAAACCACTTTAGCACATGGTTTTTAAATAGTAAAACTATTAATTGCTTACAAAAGTAGGTACATCATAATAATGCATAAAAAGTGGTTTACCCCTTATCTTTAACAATATTTTCGGTTTTAGGGTTCTTGGCTGCTTCTGCTCGGAAGTTCTAGATGCTTCAGATTCAATTATGGCTCCATTGCATTTTCTAAATTATGGATGCCAATATCATCGACACTTTCTAGCCATCCTTGTTCGTAGCTTTCGTTAGGCCATGGTTGTGCATTAGGCCACTGTTGGACACAACTTTCATTATTTTTTTCTTGATTTGGCTCTGGAGATATCCTTTCATAAACTGTAAAATAATCACCAATCCTTTTGATTGAATAAGGACTGCTAGTTTTGATATGTTCGAGAAGACTGGATTAATGATGATAAAATTTAAACTTGAAAATTTTTACTTTGATTAATTTTTCATGAAGAAAGATCATCATATCTTTGTCTTGATACACTAGATGGTTGTTAAGTAGAGGCTTTGACACTCCTTCATGAAGGCTTGCAATCTGATATGTACGGAAATGAGCCACCGTTTCTTCAGCAGTTATATGATCTACTACTTCATGACTTTCTTCATCTCTCTGCCAGGCACTATAAAATCTTGGAGTTTTGAAAATTTCTATAATATGCTTGGCTTCATCCATGAGATTTTTATAATACGGTCCGACTGATTTGATAAGCAGAGTGATAGAAGAAGTTTGATTTTCTTGAAATACATGCCATAGGATCCTTCTTAGTTGAAGATGATTAAATGAGGATATTTGCATCTACAATTCTTCTTCTCTACTAATGCTTACTTTTGCTAATAATCCATAATCTAATAATTCTTGCACTCCCCATTTTGAGAATTTTCAAGAATGAGCTAAATGTAGAGATATAGTTACTATATGAAAACCTTTTCTACAAAAATTGCATGAACACTTTACTTCTTTGACTAATTTTTGTGAAACATATGATTGTGCATGTATTGTTTCATTTGAAGCATAAGAAATAAATATTTCTTTTAAACATTCTATCATATCATTTTTTCTATTACTTTTTGTGGTTTTAAATTTTATTTTTTATATCATTTGGCATCTCTGACCTATATAAATATTGTAACTGTTTTCCTATATTATCTTTTGAAATGTCTAAAATTGTTTTTGCAAAATATTCATTGTCTAAAAGTAAATCATCATATTCTCTATTACTTTTTATGGTTTTAAATTTTATTTTTTATATCATCTGGCATCTCTGATATATATAAATATTGTAACTGTTTTCCTATATTATTTTTTGAAATGGCTAAAATTGTTTTTGAAAAATATTCATTGTCTAAAAGTAAATCATCATATTCTTTTTGTAATATAGCATATCTTTCTTTTTCTTCTTTTAATTCCTTTTCTAATTGCTGAATTTTAAAGTCTTGGTTTGAAATGACAACTTTTTTGCAAATTTGTATGTGTTTTAGAAAAATGTGCTACTTGTTCTATACTCTTATCCATTAGTAATTTTTTATTTTCATTTTACAGATATGTTATTTGATCATTAATTCCTAAAAATGTTATAGTTAAACAATTTAGAGTATTTAGTATTGCTGAAAGATCTGATCTATTACACCACAAATTATCTAGTAGAGTTGTTTGAAAATAATTTAATGGCTTTTTAGTATGTACTTTTGGCCTAAATTGTAGATTTGTTCCTTGTCTGCTTGGCAAAATAAGAGGACCAAAATGAACTAGATTTGATTGCATTCCTTGCTCCATTCCTGCAAGAAAATTAAAATAAGCAAAAATTTCCTAGGTTAGAAGATCCGAAAATCTTTTTTTATTTCTATAAACTATATTTCTATTTGAATTATTTTTGTGGCTACATAATACATAAAATCTTTTTTTTTTTCTAATCTACTTGAAATTCATTCTTGTGACTACAAAATACATAAAATATTTTTACTTTTTTCTGATATAGAGTAATTGTTCTTACAAATTACATTTCTATTTTAATATCTGACTACCTTTCCATGAAGGTTCAAAATTCATAGATTTTAAATTTTTAATAGGCTCTTTGATAACTCTAGATAAGTAATCTGCAAGAAAATTTCTATCTCCCTTTATATGTTCAAATTTTACATCATAACCATTTCCTTCAAGAGTAGTCACAAAATTTACCTCTTTTACTATATATCTTTTTCTCATTTTTATTTTTATAGAAATGTACTATAGCTTCACAATTTTTTCTTACAAGATATTCTTTTTGTAAAAATAATTTAAAAGAATTTAAAGCATTAGTTACTCCTAGTATTTCATAGTCTAAGGATGTCATATTTTCTGATAATTGCTTAAAGCTTCCCGATGCATATCTATCTACATACTCTTTCTGTATTTCTATAAGCTTCTTTGTAAGGTTTTACCCTTAATTCTGCTCCCTACCCATCTTGTGAGGCGTCTACTATTTCTATTTTATAATATGTTTCTAATGGTAAATTTAATTTTGGTAATTTTTTAACTTGTTCTTTTATTTTTTGTGTGACCTTTACATCTTCTATATTAAAATACTTTTGCCCTGTGGCAGAAGTCTTTTATATAATGATTTAATTGTTTTTCTTAGATCTTTTATATATGGTCTAGCATAGTTTAATAAACCAAAGAATTTTTGTAATTCTTTTGTGTCTTTTATTTTATCAAAAAATTCTAATACTTCTTTAGAGATATGATCTTGTAACTCTATTTCACCTTTACCAATTTTCTGACCTAAAAATATTATATATTATTTAGCAATTTCAATTTTCTTTTCAGATAAAATAATTACATATTTTTATCATAAATTTAAAACTTCTACCACATGTTTATAATGATCTTTTAGGGTATGCGATGCTATTAATATATCATCTATATGTACTAGCACATAATTTAAATGTTTAAATATATTATCCATTTTTCTTTGAAATATGCTAGGTGCATTTTTTAAACCAAAAGACATAATTATCCATTCGTAATGTCCTATGGGTGTTGTAAAAGCTGTATATTTTATTGGTTCTTCATCTAATTTTATTTGCCAAAATCCTAATTTACAATCAAATGTGCTAAAATATTTTTTATCTTGGATTAAATTTATTAACATACCTTTATATGATATTTTGTATCCATCATCTTCAGTATTATCTTTTAATCTTTTGTAATTTATTACCATTCTAATTTTTCCTCTTAATATTTCAACATGATTTCTTACCATGAATGCAACTAATCTATGTTCAGACTTAGAGGCTCTAATTAATCCTAAATCTTTTAATTCTTTAATTTGAGTTCTAAATTTTTCCTTGTCTATTGGAGAATATTCCATTTCTTTTGTTCTTATAACTAAGTCTTTGTTAATGATTGGTATATTAGCTAATTTTTTTATTTATTTCCCAATGTTTTAAGGGATTTTCTCCTATTATTTGAATTTCTTCTGCTAATTGAAATATTTTTTCTAAAGGTTTCAGTATTTGGTAAGTAGATATTTTTTCTTATTTATAACAATTATCTAAATATTCAGAAACTTCAGGGATCAAATCAGCCATCAAAATTTTTGTTTTTATTTTTTCTTGTTTATAACAATTATCTAACTCTGATTTTTATTTGTGCATATAACTGATGTTCTTTTACTAATTGTTAAGAAATTTTTTTTTTATATTTATTTGGCCATCCATATTTAATATAAAATTAAGTCTTAAAATAAATTCTTTATTATTTGCTTCATGAACTAATATTTTAGGTAAAATATACTTTTCTGTTAAATCAAATATTTCATGATTAATAACAAATTGTATTTGGCTATTCATTAAACATTTGTTAAAATTTAATTTTTGGTTTCCTACTAAATATGTTGTAGTATTTGTTGGGTGATAATTTTTAAAAATTTTAGGTAAAAAATTTTGTGTTATGACTGATGTTGTGTTTCCGCTATTTATTAATGCTTCTAATAATATTTCTGATTTATCTTCTGAAGATATTTTTGCTCTTGTTGATATTGAAGAAGTTAGATTATTTAAATAGATATCTAATACCCTTATTTATGCATTTGTTTGTGCTAAATCTAGTTTATTTATTTTTGTATATTCTTCTACATCTTCAGGATCTGAATTTTCTTTTTCTGAAATTGTATCTTTTTCTGAAGATATTGGCGTGTTTTTTTTCTTCTTTATTGCTATTTTTAATTTTTTTAATTTTGAAAGTCATTTTCTGTTTATCTTTTTTATATTCTTTAATCATTTCTTGCTCTAATTTTTCTCGTTCTTTATCTTTCACTTCTAATTTTTCTAATCTGAATAATATTTTTTCAATATTCAAATGTATCTTTTCTAATTCTAAATAATTTTTTTTTTCTAATTTATTGACTATATATACGTTTTCTCGAGGTTTTATATAATCCCTATGATGTAAATTATGTTTTTTCTTTAAACATAAATCACATGTTTATCTAAGGCATAATTGACATCTATATCTATGATTTTTATCTAGATAATAATTACAATAAAGACATTTTTAGTCATACTTTCTTTTCCTAATTCAAAAAGATGTTCGCATGTATCCATTTTAGTTTTCTAATTTCCACCTATCAACTGCTTTTATTAAACCATCCATAGAATTTTCAGATGTTTGAGATTCATATTCTGATTCTTCATCGGTTATACTATAAATTGCATCATTTGATTTGTTTGATGCTATACTTACTATATCTTCTTTTAATCCTTGAATTAATAAGCTCCTAGTTTTATTATAATTTTGTTTATTATATGAATTTGCTAAATGATCAGGAGATCCACAAATATAACCATGAAATTTTTTATTATTAGATTTTTTAACATCTTTATCTTTTATATAAGTTGTTCTAGTAGATTTTCTAATG